TCTCTCTCTCTCTCCTTCTCTCTCCTTCCCTACTTCCCTCCCTCTCTCTTGTTTTTTGTTTGTTTGTTTTTTTCCACTGACGGGGGTGCGTAATCAATATTGTTTTAGAGGCCACTGTACTAGAAACATGAGTTTGCCACAAAGAGCTAGTTGGGAAAAAAGAAGACCTGAGGCAAAAATTCCTGCTAAATTCACAGAAATCAGTTTCATTACATCCCCTGAAAACAAGGATTTGCATTCTACCTCTACCAAAATATTGAGTTCTTGAAACATTGTAGGTGTGCAGCAAATATAAATTTATTAACTGACTGAGTTCCATAGGGGCTGAGGTCAAGGAATAGTTTTGAGGTCAGTATTAGAGTAGTTCCTATTCTTTTTCCCATAAACATTTCATGGGCTGTTTACAGATAGTAGTGAGGTGAATGTCCCAAACCCACATGATTTTTCTCATGGCTTTCTGATGTTTTTATGCTTTCACACCTGACAGGGAGTGGTCTTTTGAGATCCTTGCATGAAGCATCCTGTCAAAATGCTAGCTCACAGAGTTCTTCTGTAATAGCTGCCTGTCTAGATAATTGCCTTGTAGCTATATCTACAAAATAGCCAATGTAGATTAGGGCCACAGATACCACATGAAGGGGAGCAAGTTCTTATCCGGTGAGTTTGGGTTGTTCAGGTGGGTAGCCAGCAGCAGTGCCAGACATTTTTTGTGCATCTGATAAATCTAAGGCATGATTGGAAATACGGGTGATATAAGAAAAATAAAACATAGCCCCTTACACCAAGAGCTTTGCAATCTAGTTCATGAGACAGGATATGGAAATGCATCAAGATAATTACAAGCAAGCAGCATTGTAAGGTTCATTCAGAAGACAAAAAATTATTTTATATCTGCTCTTCATATTTATTGAATATTTGTTTATCCACCATTTTCTCTTAGTGGAGACCTGGCTTCCGTTATCTAAATAAATGGTCCGTAGCTTTCTGCACATCTGTCATGTCTATATTAGTACTTGATTCAAAAGATTCCCATTGTGTAACACAATGGGACATACCCATAGTTGGTTTGCTGGCATAGGCTTTATTGAAGGATACATGGAGCTAGAGAGAAGTGAACAGCCTCGATTTGGCCCTAAACAGTTATTTCCACTTAAATGTAGTACCCCTTCTAACCTCAGCCTTTTTTCTGCCTTCCCCAACCTCTAGTCATTCTTGCAACTCAGGAATATAATGACCAGTGTCAAGAGTCTCCTGTATGTGGAGTGGAATTTATGTTAATTCCAAAGGACCTTCCCCTTCCAGGAGGATTGGGATGAGAATGATGGAGAGGGCAGTGGTGGTAGAGCATGGTGTTGTGGCTTACATGGAATTTCTTGTCAAAGTATCAACTGCTTAGGAAACTGGCTTCATCTGCTGTTGTGGCATTGTTGGAGGTACAGGGGATAGAGAGAAACAAGACATAGATAGTCCCTGACCTTGAGAACCTTCCAATCTAGGTGATGAGACAGGACATGGAAATAAATCAGAATAATTATAGGCAGGCAGCATATCACAGAAGTTCCAAGAGCAAAATAAGCATTAAAGACTGGGGCAGTCAAGAAAGGATTCTTGGAATATGTAAGGCTCACACTAGGTCTAAAAAGAAGGATAGATCTTATACAATCAGAGAAAGATGAGGTCAGAAGGAGTATGATGTACATTTTTTTTGGCAGTACAAAAACCAGACTCCTCATAAGGGTGTCACAGACTCAGCCAGAGCTGGATTTCCTTTCATTTCTGTATGGCAGCACCACTGAGCAGCATATTGGAGGGAGAAGATGGTAGAAAGGACTGTTTAACTCCCATACCCTAAAGGTGAGGTTCTTCATGAAACATTTTATGAAGAGGTAGCAGGAAAAGACTGTATTTCCTTATCTCAGTAAGCCCCAACTTCAGTTTTTAGAAGAACAGTAAAAACTAGGGGTTTGATTTTCAAGAATCTC